TATCCTTGTATCGTCCCTTCAATACCACAATTTCTTAATTGTTTATTTAAACCAGTTGAAATCTATTCACATCCTTCACTGTGCTCCATAGGCTCCTTCCCTTATCTGCCTGTTTCAGTAATTTCACTATTTCTGCCACCATATCCCTGCTACTCAAGGCGTTATGTTCTACACTCTGTCTCAAGCCTTTGTTAGTACGTATGCACCAGCCACACTCAGCGAGCTCGTAGTCTGGATTTTAAATTGTCATGACAACCCAACTTGGTGCTGCAGATTCCTTTATCACTGTGCTGAATGCGCATCGAGTAAATCTCATGGTCAACCTTTTACTTCATCAATCACGTCTATGGGCAAACTTATCTACCAATAGCTAACTAGAGATGGTCACCACCGTTTCTCTCGCTCTTCTATTCCTAATACCAAGTCTATGACTTTCTCTTGCGTGCCGAACCCCAAATGTAATCGTTCCACTTGATTTTAATGTACAGATAAGGGAAGCATCCTACGGAGCAAGAGGAGGACTCTGATAGGACCCGAAGGGAAAGCATTACGACGACTCCGATGCACTCGCCTACCATTTGACAAACAAAAACTTAGCACGGATGAGTTAGAGTCGCAGGGCGGTGAATCGAGGACTTCGCACAATCCAACAATATTTACTCCAAGGCAATCCTTGGTTTTTTCTGTGGGACCATTTCACGAATTATTGCCAACAAACTTTTTCTTTAATTGAATGGTCACCTACCAAAGATCAACTATTAAACAGTTAAGGTCTGTCCTATTCTGAGTGAGATAGCAATCCAGGCTGAGAATGTTATGACAAGTAGATGCGGCTGTGACTAGACAGCTACCTCTTCACAATGTTGGCGCCAGTAATTGTATCTATTTGTGCATTTGTTATTAGTGTGCAACGCTCGTGGGCCATGTTACGTGCAAGGGTCCTTACTATGTCCGAATACAATAAAACCTCCTCTCCCTCGGCGGTAATTCATGCTTCTCTCCAGCCTGTATTTAAGTCTATCCAACAGCCAATAGTCCCCACTACATTTTAAAGAGCCCCTTTTATTCAGGTTTTTAGCTGTCTTGTACTAATAACAGTTAAAACTAGAATTATTTCAATAACAATACTTTTAGGTGGGAATCTTCTATATATTTTGTGTGTTATGGAACCTGACGTCTCGTTGGAGAAGTCTGTTTATTTAAGCATTGTTTTTATTATTTCATTCGATTACTCATTTCATTGTGGAGCATACTTCGGCCTCAGTTGTAAAATCACCATAATCAAACTACGGTGGCTAATTTCTTATTCATAAGTTGGCGATAGTTTTGAAAATACTCTGACTATAAGTAGCGTCTTGACAATCCCGTTATAAATATGATTTGAGCAAGGTCTGGCTTCCCTTGAAAGTGGAATCTGTCCTGTGGCTCACGGGTGCACGTTGCTGTGCAGCCTGGTAGTTTGTCTCTTTGACGAGTTGCTGTATGATGCTTAGGATGGCGATACTCACTGACGATGCCGACTACGAGGCCGGCGAAACGTTTGAGAATGTACCACGTCTACGGTTCAACTTTGACATGCAGACAATGGACCCCGGACCAGGTGCGTTCCAATAAGTCTTCCTACCAATATGAACATGTTACGAAAACAAGG